AAAACAAAATAAAACAAAAAGTTTACTTTAAATTTATGTGGTACTTTTTATACTTTCTCAAGTGATCAATAATTTCAAATATTATTACACAATATGAATAGCATGAGCATGGGAAATTATTTTTATGGATAACTTTGTTTCATTTGACTTTATATGTGTTCATTTGATCAGTTTGCATTTTTTGCTTCTACAAAGCTTTTTATAAGCACTAACATCCTTAGCAATGAACTGTTAGCTCAAATTATTAAAGACTGGTCTGCTTTTCAAAGTAAAAATTACAATTTTATCTGACAATCTTTGAGATTGTATGAGGAAGGATATTATATTTTTTATAGTGCTTCTTAATCCTCCAGCTACATTTAGCGTGTGTTTATAAACACAATGCTCTTGGATGCTGAAAAAGTGTAATATAGGCTTAAAATTCCAACAGAGGGTCATTTAACTATGGTTGGTGAAAGACGGTGGTGCGCAGTGAGACTCAACACCCTTTAAGGCCAAGAGATTTATTAAAGTGGCGGCTACAGAAAGAAGGAAGAGAGGGTCTGTAACTGCGGGGTAGGGGAGGGAGAGTGAGAGAGAGCCCGCGAGAGAGGGCTGTATTTATGGGTTTGGGAGGGGGTGTCCAGTGCCGTGCTAGGGCCTGGCAAGGGCTGGCCAGTGCCATGTTAGGGTCTTATTGGAGGAGGCTATGAGGTAGTATTCCTATAGGGAGATAATATTTGCACATAGGTTTAAGTTTCGCACGTAAAGGAAAAGTTGGAGTTTAGGGCCTTTGTAGTCTTTGTTTGGTTCTATGTAGTGTTTAGCGCCATCTCAGGAGACGCCCTTCTGACTGTTCCCTGCGCCTTTAATTCCCACCTTTTCTGTTTATTTGGGAGAGGGACGTCATTATTCTTTCTGGCTGCTTCCTGCTGGATGTGGGCATTGTGGAGTGTGGTGGGGGAAGGGCACAGAACCAGCCAGAACAGGGCCCAGAGATAGGCGCTGAAGGTGAAGATTTCTGAAGGTGAGGGTTCCATGAAAGTCCCTTGTAAATGTAGAATGGCGACTTGTTCCGGCCACTCCTCCAGTGGGCACGAGGGCGGTAGTAACCAGCTGTCTTGGAGTAGACTGTGGAGGTAGATAGAGAACTGGGAAGAGAACATATCTAAAAGAAAAGTTAAGTGATGTTTAGGGACAAGGTGCTGACTCCTCTACTGGGACAGGTTGATAACTATTGAGTAATAGGAGGTTGAGGTTTTGATTTGAGAGTTCAATTAAGTGCTGTTGGAGAAATTTAAAGATACATGGGGCTATTAAACAAAAAAACACAAATTAGAATGACAGGGCCTAGGAGTGGAGCCAGCCAGGTGACAGACGCCTGGAATTTGGCTAGAATGTCCCTGCTCATAAGAGGTACGGGACATTGAGGCAGTATCAAAAAGGAATGAGTGCCTGATCTTGTATCTGAGGCCAAAAGACTAACAAGCTATGTTTTTTTTTTAGGTTTTTATAGGTACCTTTTACTTCTTATTCCTGCTCTTGGAAATATTTTTAAAATCCTGGGAAATGGGAGGAAGATCATTTTTGTATCTATTTTCTGCTGAGATGGGGCCGTAGCGATGTCTCTACCTATTTATTTTTAAGAGCATGAACAGGAAATGGCAGAACCTTAAGCAAATGCTATTTGGATTTAATAAAACATCAAGTGAGAGCATAGGCAAAGATTATTAAGTAAACGATGATGAAAAGAGTTATTGTCCCAAAAAACAGTGCTGGAGAAGCGAAAGTTCCGTAAATTGTATGTATTCATTAACATAAGTTGAAATATTTCTTTGTAGATTATCTACAGTTGTACTTTAACAAGGAAATATAGCCACTTTGGCAGAAAGTCTGAAGAAAGAAAGATTGAAAACCTTAGAGACATGTAGTTAGGTTATAGCTTGAATTGAGAATTTAGAACAGGGAAACATTGGTAGGAGACAACAGTTTCCTTGTTTTCATAATGGGTCTGACGTACTTTTCCAACCACTGACGTGCTGGAGAGTGAAGCCCAGGTTATTCTGCCACTCACCCTATGTTGGAGAGTAAGCCTTGGGCCTGGAAGGAGATTTTAAAGTTCGTTAGCCATTTGGCGGTGCCCTTAGTGAAGTGAGTTTACCTGGCCTTCAGGCAATTTAGAAGGGGGTGGGGTAGGTGTGGTGCCTGGAGCTTGCTGCTTATCTCACCCTAGAGACTGAATCAAGAACTTGAAGAGTTCAAGTACCAAAGTTTTTAAAAGCATGTTGTAACACAAAATGACAGTAGTTATTGTAAGAGTTATTTATTTAGCCAAAATGATAGTCCAACGATTTTGAAAAGAAAAAACCTCGCTCTTTTGTAACAAAGACAGTGGAGGAGGGCTAATTGAATTTTGTCTCTTTTTTTTCCCCTCTGTTGTTTAAAGGAGAAAATTTTTTGGGGGGAGATTTGTTAATTAAGAAGCTCATGTTCTGGTCTTTGAGTAGCATGTAGGCCTAGCATTGTGTAATTGATATTGATGGTAAATTTATGGAACCTTTTTTGTAGCCTCGAGTGTTTACAGAATTTCTTTTACTTTTTTCCACTAACTTTCACCTAACATGTTCGATAAACTCATACCATTTTTTGACATGCTTAAACCTTCTATTTTTGTTCTATACTTTCTTTAACCAGCCATTCTTATAGAACAAAAATGTACCATACAATATTC